GGAAGAATAGTGTCAGATTGCCCCGAGTCTGAGGTTAGCGGGATGCAGAGGAGACTGCCCCAGCACGGGAATCCTGGCCCACATCCGGCTGCATCCATCCTCGTTCCGTGCACTGCAGAGAAAACCCCAACGGGGGCTAGAACAGAACAGTCTAGTGCTTTCTTTCAGAATCCCCAAACTTTACTTACCTGCTACCCCAAAATTAAAACCCACTGCAAGATCCAGAGGGTTATTCCTAAGTAACACGTACTGGAAAACGTTCAATTAAAAAAAAAAAAAAAGAAGTGGGGGTGTAGAAGATGTAGTACCTGCCCAGCACGTGAGGCCCTGGGCTCCATCCCTTACACTGCACCCCCGAAGGGAAACTGAGCCAGGTGTGCGGTGCATCCGTTACCCAGCACTCAGGATCCTGTGAATGAGGTCGCTCTGGAATACCTCGTGAGACCCAGGCTCACATGACTAAGGGAGAGAAAAGGCAGATTAAACCTGTGCATGAATCAGGAACTGCAGAGGAGGCAGCTCCAAAAGTGTCTTAGTCTGACTCCCCTCTCAGCTGTTGGTTTTTTCATTTGTTTTTTGCTTTCTGAGACAGGATCTTGCTATGCAGTTCAGGCTGGCCTTGAGCTTACTTTGTAGCCCAGGCTGGCCTTGAACTGGAAGCCATCCTCCTGCCTCAGCCTCCCAAGTGCTAGGATTACAGGTGTGTGCCACCACGCCCAGCTTCAACAAGTTGAAGGTAATTTATTCAAGTAAGTAAACTAAAGAGCACATGCTGACCTCTTTTCCTGTTTCCTTTGCAGTAGGGGGATCCAGCCCAAGATCTTGCACACACTAGGCAAGTGCAAGTGTGTGTGTTTAAAGTAGTTCTGAAAACAGCAGACAGAATCCATGCATGTTGGCACACATCTGTAATCCTGGGCTGAGGCAGGAGGATTGTCACATTGAGCCTTCCAGGGCAACACAGCAACTCACTAAAACTTTGTCTCAAAATAAAAAGTAAAAAAAGGGCTAGGGAGGTAGCTCAGAGAGAATGCCCCAGATTGGAAACTTAGTATTAAAATAAATGAAACAAAACCATGAGGAAAAACTAGACAGAAGTACACAGCCTGGATTAGATGTACACACTTGCAGACAGATGTACACAATTGTAGTTTATCACAGACAAGCACCTATGCACATGCACACATATGTATTCATACACATATATATGAAGTTTCATACTCACCAAGTGTTTATGTTTACTTAACTGTGGAGGAAACATACTAACTACAAACATCAAAAACTAAATTCACACATAAAGAAACAACCAGCACAGTTGTGCTTCTCATTAATTCAGTGCATGACTTTGTTACAGTACTGTGAATCCATCCTGAGACGCCTAAGAGAAAAAGGGAGCTTTAACTTTAATTGTGTATTGTATTTTAGCCTAAAAAGGAAAAAGTCCCCATCAATTTTTTTTTTAAATTTCCCATCAATTTTTTTGTTTGTTTGTTTTTTTGTTTTTGTTTTTGTTTTTTTAGATTGGTTTTCCCTATGTATCCTAGGCTGGCAAACCTCCTGCCTCAGCCTCCTGAATATTGGAATTATAGGCACATGACACCACATCAGCTTCAATTCTTATATGACTTTTGAAAACATGTTAAATAATATTAAGTAAAGACAAAAACATTTCCAGAAGCAATCCCCTCCCCAAACAAAACCCAGTATGGACTTCCACATCAAACTAGATGTTGCTTGATTTCTGTAGGCAATTCACAAAAATTATAGTAAGGGTTGCTATGGAAAGAAAATGTATATAAGAAAAATCTAACATCCTTCACTCTGAGGGGAAATGAAACTATTAGTAGGGCCAAGCACTTTAACACTTGCCATTCATTTATCCAACAAATACTCATTAATACCCACTAAGCACCAGGCATTGAAGACGATCCCTGCGTTCATGCATATAATGGCCAAGCGAGGGAAGGGCTGGACACATTAAATTCTCAGATGTGCTATTTAACTGTTGCTACAAGAAAAGTTTCAAAGCCAGGAGCACGGTGGCACATGCCTTAATCCCAGCACTCAGGAGGCTGAGGCAGGACAGCTGTGAATTCAAGGCCAGCCTGGGCTACATAGTGAGTTTAAGGTCAGCCCGCACTACATAGTGAGACCCTGCCTGAAAAGAAAAGAAAAGTCACAAAAAATACAGTATGTGGTAAGAGTAGAAGGAAGGCAGGGAAAGATTACAGAAAACTGGAAGAAAGGACAGGAGAGGGAAGCTATACTCCAGATGCTTCTCTCATTTAATCTGCACAGCAACTCGGTTAAGTAACTTTCCCAAGGTCACAGGACTAACAACTGCCAGAACAAGGCTTTGAAACCAGTGTCATACTTTTCCCAAAGTGCCATGCTGCTTCTTCCCAGAACAGGTTCCTTTGAAAGTGAATGGGAAAATGTTGATCTATCCCAGAACCAGACTCTCTCCCTCAGACTGGGCTCTCTGCTTTCCACCTCCCACCCCCAAACTCCTTTTCACAGCCCTCTAAAAGTGGCAGGCTCATCCTAAGCATAATCACATCCGAAAACAACAAACCATTTTCAAGGCTTTTTCTGTTTTGCTTCGTTTTTTGGTTATCACTTTGCTGTTGAACTACAGAGAAATTTCTGGCAACAGGTTTTTTCTTTCTTTCCTTCTTGTTTTGTTTCTATAGTGCTGGGGCACAAACCCAGGACCTTGTGCCTTCAAGGAAACACTCTATCTCTGAGCTACATCCCAGCCCCTTTGTTTTGTGTTGGGGATTGAGCCCAGGCACTCCACATGCTGAGCACATGCTCTGTAATTCATAGGGAACAAAACCTATTAAAGAACCAAAGACACTGATCAGGCCAACAGTTTAGTAGAGAAAACTAAAAGCAATTACATAAAGAGCAAAGAAAAGGCCATACTTTCACTTCTGAAATGACTTTCACCTTCAATAATGCTCGTCTATGACGTGTGTATCTACTCAAGAGAGCTGCCTTCCCCTCTACAGCTCCTACTTCCTCTTTCTCAGCTTTCCCTTCTCAGGAATACTGAACTTCAAAACAAGGCTTCTGTTACAATATATCTGTTGAATTAGAACAGAACAATCATAAAGACCAAATATGGTAAGCTTCCTTTTTCTCTACATTCTTGTAATTTTTCATGCTGGCTGAAGAATGAGAATGCTAGATCCTTTATTCTAAGATTCACCACAAACAGATTTTTTGTTTGTTTGTTTTGGGTTTTTTTTCCCCAGTACCAGGAATCGAACTCACGACCTTGCGCTTGCCAGGCAGGTGCTGTGCCGCTGAGCTAAATCCCCAGCCCCTCACAAAAAGAGTATTAACCACTTAAATAATCCTCTTCTTTCCCATCTCTGCAAGGTAGCAGAATAAAAAATAAAAGTTTATCTAAAGACTTCAACCTTCTACCTTTACTTCTTCTTTACCTGGGGGTAGGGAGAGATTATGAGCTGGCAGTTACTGTGAACGAGGCGGCTGTAACAACCAGAAGGCCACAGATTCAGCAGGAGTTACATACCCGTAACAGTAACTCATGGCTTTCAGCTTAAAAATATACATGTAAGCACAGACAGGGAGCAAGAGAGAACGAGCACTAGATACTAACAATATGAAGATGAACGTTAAGCTGTGGCTTACTAATTTAAAACTGATTTGGAAAAATAACACTCAAATGTCTGGTGCAGTTTTTCTCCCCGAGTTACAAATAACAGTAGTTTCTAATGACAAGTCCCTAAAGCGCAAGATATGCAGTATTAAGTCCACAAGTATTAAATGCTGTCTAAGAAGTATCGATCAATTATTTGAAGGTTTCACAAAGTTAACAGAGGAAGATGCTCCAAGGCCTAACTATATACCGTTCAGGAAACTTACGGATTATTTGAAGCAACATCGTATAAGCCAAAACACTATCATACGGATAATCACACTGTGTTTATAAGGTGAGTTTATACTTTGGGACTCTCTATAATTACAACATAATTACATACACTGTTTGTATAGCCCGGTGAATCTCCTTATTGAAAGTGAACTACAAGGAAATGTTTTATTACTCGTTTATTGCTAGTCATGTTGTTCGTACACCTCTGTAAGTAACGTTCTCCCGGGACTGTACTTACTAGACTGCCCATTCAGTGCCACGGAAAACCATCGTTCAACATGTTCTTTCCCTCAACGGGCCTGAAGAATACGAGCGGTATATCACACAGCATAACTTTTATATAATGAAAGTACTGAACGTCTCCGGCTCTTAATAGACCAAGCATCCACCCTTGGTAAATGACAAAGGCACCAACCAATCGCCGGGCAGGATCTTAATCTCTTAGCCAATAAGAATATGGAGGTGGGGTTAAACTAAGCTCCCGGTGACTTCCCCGCACCCCGAGACCCAGGCTGTGGGAGACTGGACGGGAACTGGAATCCGAGGATCTCGTTACCCCCGGCTGTAGCTGTTGTCCTCCTCGTTCTCGCAATCGCTGCAATGCCCATGGCTGTTCCCGTTGCCTTCCATCATCTGCGGCCGCGGAGGTGCCGGCGGCTTCACTGCTGTCTCACTCTCATCCGCCATCTTGAGCTGCCAGCGCCGGGTTCCGCGCCTCGTTACAAGGGACGCTCCTATTGGATCAGCCTGGCTCGCGCTGTTTTCTGGGTGTCGTAGTTTTCTAGGGGAAAAGGAGCGGCTCGTTCCTGGAAACACGAATAAGACGGACTACAATACCCAGAAGGTCAAGAGGCAAGGCGCACTCCCAGAAGCACCGCGTGCCGCCCTGCTCTGAGTCGACAGGCCCCCGGCCCTGGGGCTTGCCGGGAGTTGTAGTACGTGCTGGCTTCGGCTTGGCAGTGTGCAGTGTCCAAGTTTGTTGTCTTCCTCCCGACCCTTGCCCTCCCCGGGCGACGCGGAGCGGTTAGGCGCCGCAGTTAAGGACCGTTACCATCCCGAGTACTCTGTGAGAGACCGAAGGCCGCCGGCCTTCCTCGACGGGCCCCTGGACGGCCTTGGCCTCCGGGCAGGCGGCAGACGGCGGTGTGCGCGCCCCGGCCCTGAATCGCTGCGTCTCAGCCACCAGGTACAGGGCTCCCCACGCTCGTCGCGCCGTCCGCCGCTCTTCCCTCCTCAGGGAGCGCGCGCGGGCGGGGCCGGGAAGGGCTTCGCGTCTGCGCGCCTTGCGTCCCCGCGGCCTGCGTTGGGCCCCGTTTCACAGACCGGGAAGTGTGGCCCGGGGAGCTTGCTAACGTGGCCGCACGGCCCGGAGGCGGCAGAGCGCGCGTGCGGCTCCGGATCCGTCTGCCCCCGGGCCTCTGAAGTTTTGCCACCGCTAACGTCCTATTGTCTGATGCACGCACCGCCTAAGGAGATCATTCAGTTAGAAGGTACCCGTGACATTTTAATCTAGTTTTGGCTCTACTGAATCAGGGCTCCGTCCCCTGGGCCCCCGGTTGAGTGATCTCCCCGGAGGTGTGAGATGAGAGCACCAAGACGCCCTCCCAGTCCCTGGAGATTTCCTGTTCTCTGCTGGCGGCGGTGGCGGTGGGGGTGAGGCGAGCACGGTTTAGAGAGAGCTGTGTGGCCAAAAAGGGAAGTGATCTTTGCCTTTGGGGAACTCTCAACATGGGAAGTGAGGAGAAACGGTTCCCATCTGACTCAGGGAAAGAAAACCAAGTAAAACATGGCGCTAAATATAGTCAGTTCTTTTTATAGCAGAGACAGGAGCAGAAAAGTAAAGATGACCCAAAGCTGTAGATGGTCCCCAGTTATTTCTGTCTGACTCTGGAGGGTGGTCAGGTCTGTCCATCTCGGCGGAGCGGTATCACCTATGTTCACCTCTGTGGAGCCAAGACTGCTGTCAACGTGGTGCGTTTTTGCAGCTGCAGCAGGAGAGGCCAGAGATGAGAATAAACCTTGTATGTGTTAGATGGCATTAACTTTTCTAGATGTTTCACTTCTTTATTGCATACGGCCTTCTGAAATAAATAGGGAAGGGGCCTCAAAGAAAAATGTGCTTGCCCCCAGAAAATCAGGGATACCCAGTTGCAGAACTCAGACCAGAACCTGAGCCCAGAGTTCTAATCCCAAAGCCCTCTGCTCACTTTTCCTACAGACAGGTAACGGCTGAAGGGAAGATCGTGAGCATGGCCAAGGGAGAGGTGAGAAGATCGTGAGCATGGCCAATTATAGGGAAGGAAGGTGCTGGTTTCTGTGCACCCTGCCACCCTTGGAGTTGAAAGCTTAAGCAGATCACCTTGCCTGGTTATTTAATGCAAAGTGAGCAGTTTTCCCTGGTGGAGAGCCTTTTTTGGGGTAGGCAAGCAATGAGGCTGTTAAAACCCGGTTCAGAATGCAAGTGCAAATCCAACATTCTGGCAACCAGCACCTCTGAGAATTTCCAAGTTAGAAAAGACCTGAGAGCCTAGCGTGGTGGCACGCACCTGCAGTACCAGCACTGGGGAGGCTGAAGCAAGAGGATCACTGCCAGTTTGAGGCCACCTAAAAAAAACAGAGAGAGAAACCTGAGGCACTTACTCCTATCTCAGGACTGTTTAAGTTACCCTCAGATTTTGTAGGATCTATGATTTCTCTATAAAACAGTCACCACAAAGTTTCCAAAATTGAGTCTACAGATGTTTTCTTGGGATCCCAAGGGTACTTGTGTGTTTCTCATAGTTCCACTGTGAGAGAGAGAGCTTTCTACTCTCCGCTGTGATGGTGGAGGGTTAGCCAGTTTATGGAGATATGCACAAATACATAATCCTGTGTCCTTGTAGATAATTGTTACATTTTTTACAAGTAGTATCTAGTTCTTGACACCCCCCAACACAAACACACAAACATTCCCAGTCTTCTGAGCGCAGGCCAGAATAATAGGCCTTTCCTCTCTGGTTCTGCTGGTTCTTGCAGAACTGTGCTCAGAGGGCAGCTGAGGGACAAGCCTGTGAAGCCGCATGGATTCTGAGTTGCTGCTCATGTGGAGACCCTGTTATCCCTTCCCAGCTGTTCCTGGCAGCAGTAGAACATAGAGCTCTGTCAAGAGTGCAGGCTGCAGGATCTGATCCTGGGGGCCTAACTGCTGGCCATGCCTCTGACCTTGAGCGAGCCACTTGACCGCCTAGATTTCTCAGAGCATCAGTGGACTCATCCATAAAGTGAGATTCACATGCAGAACACTTAGGAAAGTGGTTCCAGTGACATAACTGGTTAACACAGGATGCTTCCAGGACGGTACAGTGTCAAGGGACAGAGTCAATACTCTGTCTCAATTTTCTTTCCAAAAATTCAGCATTGATGGGGCCAGGGATGTAGCTCAGTGGCACAAGCACCTGCCTGGCAAGCGCAAGGTCGTGAGTTCGATTCCCAGTACAAAAAAATACATAAATAAATTCAGCATTGGTGCTGGGATAACCAAAGAAAAACTTGGTGATCAAGGAGCTCAGTCGTTGCTGTATTCCCAGCATTACCGCAGATACACATCCAGGGGACTCAGGAAGGCATGAACCAGGCTGGGGTTCATTTAAACAATGTCCTGGAGCATGTGTGACAGGTTAACACCATGGGAGGAACTGGAGGACCAGGCATAGGACATAGTCCCTGCCGGAGTTCTCTCAATGAGGGCCAGGCATCCAGTCCGGAAGTCACAGAGCAGCACACTTCCTGAAGAATCGGGGTTTTTCCCTTGAGAACTGGGCTAGTGGGCTAGATGTCAAATGGAGTAGGGAGGTGGCCTTGGGCAGCTTTCTGTGTCTGTTGGAGCTCACCTGCAGGAAGGGACCTCTGCCTCCTGACATGGGAGCCAGGACCACAGTGGGGCACGCCTCCTGCTTGCTGCTATGGTTTTAAGATGGTGCCAGGTATTCCCTGGCCAGGTATTGCTTAAGGTGAAATCAGAAAAACCAGCTGCTGCACTTAAAAATCAAAGAATGGGCATCATGTGGCTCATGGTAGAAACTTGCCTCGCATGCATGAAGCCCTGGACTTGATCCTTGGGACCACAGAAGTTTTTGCTGAATGAATTAATGCATGAATGAGCAAATATGTGAATGGTGGGAAAGAGGGGGTAAGGTCTCCAGGGTGCGATGGGAAGTGGAACAAGCAGAGGCCAGGAGCAGGAACATGCAGCATCTGCCCCTGGTGTGGGTGTGGGAGCAGGACTGCTCAAGGTTGGGGCCACAGCCTCCCTTCGACCTTCACCATCAGCTGCTCCTGTTCCTAGTGGCCAGTGAGTAGCACAGGTGTGATCCTTGGTTTTTTGTTTTTGTTTTTGAGACAAAACTCACTATGTAGCCCAGGCTGGTCTTGAACTCGTAATGATCCTCCTGCCTCAGCCTCCAGGGCGCTGGAGCACCTGGCTAACTCTTGTTTTGTGGAGAGAAAGCTGAAGCTCAGAGGGGCTGGGGATTTAGCTCAGCGGCAAAAGCGCCTGCCTGGCAAGCGCAAGGTCATGAGTTCGGTTCCCGGTACCGGAGAAAAACCAAAAAAAAAAAAGAAAGCTGAAGCTCAGTGATTTGTGTGAGGCTGCTAGGTAGTGTGAGGAGCAGACTCGGTGCTGTAGCCCCCAGGCAGGTGCAGTTCCTGGACAATCGGGGCCTGTGTGAGGGATTTTGGATTTGTTTTTTGGACATTTTAAAATTGTTTATTTTTTCTTTGTGTGTTTATTGTGGTACTATAAAGGGATCCAACCTGAGGGTACTGTACCATCATGCTCCACCCCTGGCCCTTTTGGTTTGTTTGCTTAGTTTCTTGAGATAAGAGTCTTGCTCTGTAGCTCAGGCTGGCCTGGAACTCATGATCCACCTGCCTCAGCACCCATATGTTGGGATTACAGGTGTGTATGCACCACCATGCCCAGCGTTGAGAAACCTTTTTTCCCCCCTCTGTATTTATGGATTTTGGGGGGGGGTCTTTTTCTGAGACAGGGTCTTGCTATGCAGTTCAGGGTGGTCTTGAGCTCACTTTGTAGCCCAGGTTGGTCTCGAACTTGTAATGATCCTCCTGCCTCAGCCTCCTGAGTGCTGGAATTACAGGCGTGTACCACCACGTCTGGCTGTATTTATGGATATTGAACTGAGGGTCTTACCGTTGAGCTAAACCTTTAGGCTTTTTATTTTCACTTTGAGGCACAGTCTGTCCGAGCTACTAAATTGCCCAGGGTGGACTCGATCTTGTGATCCTCCTGCTTCAGTCTCCTGGAGTGCTAGAATTATAGGCATGAGCTACTACACCTGGCTTTGGAAGCTTTTAAATAAAGTATAAATATTAATGGTATTTGTGAAGTGTGGTATAAATTTAATTGCATATTAATATTTATCTAAAACAAATATACGAACAATAAATTTTAAGAAATAAAGTCAAAGGAGTCATTTCTGATGGATTCAGAGGGTTGTTCATCAAGCAAAACTTGAAACAGCACTAGATTCCAGGTTCATGCTAGATGGTGAGACATACAAGTGCTGAGATGCAGGTCACAAGCAAGACACAGTGAGACTGCTGCGTAAGCAGGTGGAGCCAGCTCCAAGGTTATCACTGCTGCCCTGAATATCAGAAAATGTGTATCTGAGTTGAAAACCCTCTTGATAACATCACCTTATAACCGTAGGGTATGTGTGGTGCCATATGCCTGGTATCCAGCTGCCTGAGGGGCTGAGGCCAGAGGACCACAAATGTGAGGCCAGCCTGGGCAACTTAGACCTTGCCTCAAAAAGAAAAAAACGTGCTGCTTCTAACCCCAGCACTCAGGAGGCTGAGGCAGGAGGATCGTTGTGAGTTTGAGACCAGCCTGTGCTACAAGGTAAGTTCAAGGCCAGCCTGAACTGCATAATGAAACCCTGTCTCAAAAAGATTAGAAAAAAAGAAAGAAAAAATGTGGAGGAGAGCTGAGGTGTGCCTCAGTGGTAGATCACTTTATTAGCATCCTCAAGGCCTGGGCTTAATCCCTAGGACTGGCAGAACAAGGAAAAATAAATTGCTAAGGCTGAATTTCAGTACTGAGGCGAGGTCTGGGTGAAAACCCCACAGAACTCCTTCACCTGTCCTTTGGGTTCTCCCAAGGAAAGCAGGCTGGACTCCAGGGTTAGC